GATTTGAATTCTAATTTTGATTGTTATTTTAAGAAGAAAACAAATAATGTATTTGTGAAGCTTATCATCTTAATTAAGATTGAAATTAGAGGACATCTTAATCTAATAATCTATAAATAGAGAATTTTAAAAATTTCTCTTTCAAGTTAAAAATACTATTCTATATGTTTCTAAAAAGATTAATTCATTTAAATTATTTTTATCTAATAAATAAATTACAGCAGCATTGATGAACAGGAAGGAAGCTGTAAGAGCCGTCCTACTAATCTTCTGTTTGCTTTGTTGAACAGAGATTTGGATAAGAAAAGAAATATTTCTCCAAATCCACCTTTAAGCCCTCGTTTGTTTTGGAGGTGTAATAGATGAGATGAGATTAAGATAACAATCATCTCACTATTAATCTCCTTACTATGAATCCCCTTCATTCTACCTCTGAAAACAAACAGAGCCTTAGTATTGACTAGGTCTCACACAAAAATTATTGGGTAAAATACAAATACCATAAAATTTGGATTGTTCTATGTAACTTTAAAAATTATAAATATTTTTTTGGTTAGAATTTATTATTTAACAAAATTAATTGAAAAATAAATTTTTTTTAACTATTCTCTTAAACAATAATAAAATTACTTGAATTGTTAATTAAAATATATTTCTAACATCATTAAAAATTATTAATTAACTTGATATTTTATTAATAATAAAAGAGGTTATTTGTTATTAGATTAGAAACTTGTAGGGACGGAATGTAATTTCTAAAATTCTTTTCAAAAAATAATTCTTTTGAATAATCTGAAGTGCTAGATATAATGCAAAAATGTTAGCTTTCAACAAAATTATTTACTAATACAAATGTCATTTTGACATGTTTAAACCATTACTTTTTTCTATTTATTAGAAATTCCACATTCAGAACATTTTATCAGAATCTTATTTTTTGGCTATAACCTAACCACTATCATAACAATTCGTTAAAATTGTTTTCACCAAAAGTTATACAAAATATTCTAACACAAATTTAAAAAATTAAAAATTAAAATAAATTTAAAGATAAGTAAGTTTGTTATATATTGAACACAAAGATTATCCTATCCTGTGTACCCAAAAAAAAAAAAGGTACGTATAAGGTATACATCATATACGAAAGTATAATTTTTATCATAAAAAAAAATTATTTTTTACTCAATTCACACAAAAAAAAAATATAATTTTTTCATTTATAATTTTAAGAGTAGATACATAATTTTGTTTTTTTTTTATAACTTTTATCATAAATTTTTTAAAATTTTCTAATGAAGTGTCGCTTTTTAAGCATTTATCATATTTAGGATTATTTAGGAATTGACTATTTTAATTAATTTTTTGATTTTACAAAAAAAAAATATTAACATTTATTAACTTCTCCCAACTCCCAAGTCTTACCATTATAATAACACTTTAATGCTTTTAACTAAAAACTAACATTTCCATCTCAAAGTAAATAACATTAATGAAGATAAAGTTAAAAGCCGCCCCCCGGTCTTCGGTTTACTTTAATAAAGAAAGATTTGGATAAGAAACGAATATCCAAAGCACGTCACCATTAATTAGGTCCCATACAAACATCATACAATAAAAAAACACTTAAATCCATCCCTCTATGACGCCCATCACTCCCTATATAAATCCAATATTACTTTGTTCAACAAAATCACTACAAATACAAAACACAAAAGTGTATCAAAATGAGGCCTAGTTGGGCGTTGATACTTGTCTCTTTGCTAGCCATACTAGTACTAAAAATCTCAGCACAGCAATGTGGACGTCAAGTTGGGGGTGCACTGTGCGCAGGAGGCCTATGCTGCAGCCAATTTGGGTATTGTGGAACCACTCCTGCCTACTGCGACCCAAACCAAGGCTGCCAAAGCCAGTGCAGTGGCAGCGGAGGTGGAGGTGGTGGCATCAGCAGTTTGATTACTAGTTCAATGTTTGATGAAATGCTTTTGCATAGGAATGACGCTGCTTGTCCTGCCACTGGCTTCTACACCTATGACGCTTTCACATATAGTTGATTTGAATTCTAATTTTGATACCACCGGCGACACTGCCACACAGCAAAGGGAGATTGCTGCTTTCTTGGCCCAAACTTCCCATGAAACCACCGGTTAGTTTAATCTCTCCCCCTCCAAACCACTGTTGACCTTTTTTATTATTATTTTTTTTAATTTTTGAAAGGAACCTTTTTGCCAATTTGTTGACCCCAAAACAGAGTGTAGTAACTTCACCGAATAAGTCGTCCTGATAATATTTAGAGAAAGACAAAATCGAATAAATAAATTGTGTAGTGGGGAAGTGAATATTGTTCTAATAATTTTTATAATATTTTTTTACAAACTCTAAGCACCGTTTTGTTTTCCAAGTTGAGGTTTGGAATTAGAATTAGCAGTGAGGTCGGATTCATTGTTTGTTTGCAGAATAGCTACCGGAGTGATAGTCCGTTCGGATTTTGAATCTCCTCTAACGAGGGGATTAGCATAGGCTCAGAGGACTTGGTATTAGAAATCAAGCCGTTGGTTTTAGAGTGTGAATGATGATTTTGCCCACAAGAATGTACAGCCACATTCTTCCTTCAATCTTCAAAAAATATCAACAAATCCAGAAAATTGGCTCAAATAAGGCAACATCGTCGTTCTCATCCACAAACATCCACAATCCCACAAACTCAGAAATTTACAAGAAAAAAGAATCATACCCGAATGAAGCTATCATTATTTCTTCCTTCCATCTTCAAAAAATATTAACAAACCATGAAATTTACAGAAAATTGGCTCAAATTAGGCAACATCGTCGTTCTCATCCACAAACCCACAAACCCAGAAATTTGCAAGAAAAAAACAAAGTCATACCCAAATGAAGCAACATCATCGTTCTCATTGAGGTTGATGATCTCAATCAGCCTTAGATAGATGAAGTGAAGGCTGCTGGGTTGGCCTTAGATGGATGAAGTGAAAGGCAACATCTTATTCAATTTTGTTGATGGGATGATCACTTTCTCAAAACCATGGGATCATTGGGTGGTTTCTTTAATAATAATAATGACAAAAATAAAAAATTAATAGTTGAATTCTTTACTAGTATTTTCAATTATGTAATTTTAATTTTAGTTTTTGAGTAGTTTAATTGGGTAATAAATTAATTAGTTGGTATAAGCTTAAATTTGATACTAATACAAGAAGGGTATTTGTGTAATTTTACATGATTAATCTCACTCCTATCTCTGGTTATCAAACAAATGCAATTTTTTTTAGTTTCCTCACTAACAGTCCCCTCATTAACGATCTACTCACTAACAATCCCACCTAATTTACTTCTGAAAACAAACGAACCCTAATATTAATGACACATCACATTTTTAGAGAGTGATTATCTTTATCTTTGGACAAAAATTATCGCATCATGTTGTTGTGTATCTAACAAATTGTGTTTTATTATTTTTAAATTTTTAAATTTTTTTTTTAGTGTTTTTTCTATGTAAGGACATAGTTATTTTGTTATTAATTAGACACATCATTAGCATGGTATCTATAAAAGATCATGTTGTGGTTTGTTATTAGCTAGATTAATGAACATGGGATTTATAGAAGACTCTGGTTTGTTATCAACTAGATAATTACTCTCCTCAAAGATGTTGTGGTCTGTGAGACAATTCATAGGTCTCATTTTGATTATATCATTTATCAGGTGTGATTTTTTATATAGACTATTCATTAAGAAAAAATAAATAAATTGATCTTATAATCATAAATCAAATCCCCAAGGTGAGATTTGTGATGGGATTCACAAACTTCAATCCTACCATCTACCATCCCTAATTACAGGATTTAAATAGACCTAGTGTCAATGACAATTCAAGTGGTGATGATAGGTTTTGTTAATAGGGAAAAAATTACTCTAAAAATGGGTGATAAAACATTTGAAGTGCATAATTATATGTGTAGGTGGGTGGGCAACTGCACCTGATGGTCCATATGCCTGGGGATACTGCTTCTTGCGCGAACAAGGCAACCCTCCTGACTACTGCGTTCAAGATGCTCAATGGCCTTGTGCACCAGGCCAGAAATACTATGGCCGAGGCCCAATCCAAATTTCCTAGTAAGCACTAGTTCAGATTTAATCATTATTAAAATTTGAAGCAAAAAAATATTACATGATTTTATGTAAAAATGAAAACTGATTATTATGCAATGGTATTTCATCAGCAATTACAACTATGGACCTGCTGGAAGTGCCATAGGGGTGGACCTCTTAAACAACCCAGATCTAGTAGCAACTGACCCAGTCATCTCATTCAAGACAGCCATATGGTTCTGGATGACTCCACAGTCGCCAAAGCCGTCATGCCACGACGTTATTGACGGAAGTTGGACACCATCAGCGGCTGACCAATCAGCAGGTCGGTTTCCAGGGTATGGTGTCATCACAAACATCATAAATGGTGGACTTGAATGTGGTCATGGCTCGGATGCAAGGGTCCAAGATCGAATTGGGTTTTACCAGAGGTATTGTCAAATAATTGGGGTTAGCCCTGGTGACAACCTTGATTGTGGCAACCAAGTACCTTTTGGTTCTGGACTCTTGGTTGACACTATGTAAATTCACAATTGCCAAGTTGTACTATGCCCTGCTCCAAATGCATAAGCTGTTGTTATATACTTATGCTCAGTAATAATAAATTTGACTTTAACTCTCTAAGTTAATCGTAATGGAAGAGCTAATAAGCAAGATAGTACTCCTTCTACTATACCTCTTGTGCTGTGTCAATTTAATTTTTGTAGTTTGAATTATAATGAAATTGCCCTTTAATAAATTTGCACAATTTCACTACCACCACCGCCGCCTCCAAATCAACCTCTTGGCATGCAGCCCAAATTTGTCCATTAACTTATGTTCCAGGCAAATGATCAAACAAATTATGGTGAGAAATTATAAACTCTTTCTTCAAAATAAGAAGAAAAAAAAAATTCTAATAAAACAGATATAAAATTATTTATTAATTTGGATCAGTTAAACGCTTTAAGTCTTCTAAACAAGTTATCATGCCTATAATACTTTTGGTTCATCACTTAATAAGAAATCTCTCTACGATAAAACCACTTTGAACTCACCCCTACAGAATAAACTTCAAATACACATAATTACTACTAATCACGTGTATCAGGTAAATCCGGGCGGCTATCTACAATCTCCAATTCTTGCTCAATTTTAAGCATATATATAACCTAGAAAACAGGCCTTAGAAGTTTTGTACAGTAGTGGCATAGGGAGTCAAATTGTCAAGCCATGGGCTTCTTAGCTGGGTCCAAAACGGGTCTTGGGTCCAGTCCATGCCCAACCTAGGCACTTGGAGCTCCGGCAACAGAAGAGAAGTAGCAATGATTCCTCTGCTTTCCTCTGTTTCTTCAAAATTTTTGTCTTCTAGTATTAGTAGATCATCTTCATCTTCTTGCTTGAAGGCCACGTGTTGGGAGGCCATTGGTGGTGCCAAGTAGTCTTCGTATTGACTGAAAAATGAGATTGTTGGATCCATTGGGGGAGAAGAAGGTTGAAGAAATGCATGGGTTGTTGTCTTCATTTCTTCCTCCATTGCTGCCCTCTGTTCCAACACCTTCAAGGAGGTTGCCTTCCTGTATATCTTACACAGTACTATGTCCTGCATCACAAACTAATTAAATTAGAATTGTGAAGGAAAACATAATTCTTAAATAATTTGTCGCCTGGCCTATGTATATTAAATTTAAATTTTATAAAGACAAATTTAAATTGTGAATACTTTTTAAAATATGTTTTATTGTTGATTCCCAAAAGCTAGTTTACACAAAATCAGGGTGTGCCCACCTCAAATGACCAAGTGTGAACTCAACAAAATATGCCCATTTTCTTTCTTATTTTTTCTTCAGAGAGATAGTGATTAAACAATTTTTAAGTGTTCAAAAAATAGATAAACAAAAAACTAATAAAGTAGCTCTACTTTGGAATCACTTTCTCTTTACAAATTTTCATACTATATAAAATGAGGCCTCGTTTGGCAAGAGGCTATTTTGTTCCAACACCTTCAAGGAGGTTGCCTTCCTGTATATCTTACACAGTACTATGTCCTGCATCACAAACTAATTAAATTAGAATTGTGAAGGAAAACATAATTCTTAAATAATTTGTCGCGTGGCCTATGTATATTAAATTTAAATTGTGAATACTTTTTAAAATATGTTTTATTGTTGATTCCCAAAAGCTAGTTTACACAAAATCAGGGTGTGCCCACCTCAAATGACCAAGTGTGAACTCAACAAAATATGCCCATTTTCTTTCTTATTTTTTCTTCAAAGAGATAGTGATTAAACAATTTTTAAGTGTTCAAAAATAGATAAACAAAAAACTAATAAAGTAGCTCTACTTTGGAATCACTTTCTCTTTACAAATTTTCATACTATATAAAATGAGTTGGGTTACATTCTTCCTATTTTGACCGTCTACTTACAATAAAAATAGGGCCTCCCTCGTCATATAGTGTAGGCCCTGCTCTCATCATATATAAATAGTAAAAAAAATGCAGTAGAACATAGTTTATCTAAATCCAATTCATATAATAAAATAGTTAGTACCTGTGGTAAGGGGCATTTATCAGGCAAACGATACTCATTCATGACCCAATCGGTTTTGCATCCACGGGGTGCTCTTCCTTTGTAGAACACTAGTGTCTTTTTCAGTCCTATGATCTTTTTCGGGTCAGACGAGGTTAATATCTTGCGGTCCGAACCCGTTGCCTTCCAAAACCCGGTTTCAGTGGTCCGGTTAGGCCTCCCTCCAGTGCCATGCTTTCTATCCCTTGGCACAAAAAAGTACCACTCTCTCTCCCCAATCTTTGCCAGTCCTGAAATATCATCATCGATATTTAGTTTTAAAAATATTATATATATAGAAAAATATTTACTAAAGTGATTGGAATTTGAATTTGTGATATAAATTTAAATTTAGTGTGGTATATGGGATACTTTAGATATTGTTTAATATTGAAAAGTATGTAAAAAATGTATTGAAAATAAATAAAAATATTAAAAAAATTATATTTATTTCAATAAAAATATATTAAAATTAATAAAAAGTGTATTGTGTTATATATATATATTTTATCTTTTACTTGTGTCCTAAAGCACTGGCTAGCAAGACTTTTTTGCAATGGTAAAACAAAACTTTAAGAAGAAAGAGCAATGCATACCAGGTAAGTCCCAAGGATCATGATGGTAGATGTTGAGGAAACCAATAATATCAATTCCCAATTTCTTGCCAAAAATGATGTTTTTAAGGTAGAAGCTGAGAAGTTCTTCCTCTGTTGGGTGAAATCGGAATCCTGGCAATTCAAGCTCAGATGTTGATTCCACAATTTCACTACCGCCACCGCCACCTCCACCAGTTGTTATGTAAATGTTTTCAAAGTGAACACTTTGCTTCTGTCCTCTGCTTTCTGAGTTTGTAAATTGTAGGTAAAACAGAGTAATAACATTCACATGTACACCCACAATGAGAGAAGAGCACACTCATGGATTTTATAGGAGATGTGGGTTGGTGATGTCTTCATTAAAAATTTGATGGGTCTTGCTAGCTGACTTTTATTGACAGTTCAGTAAGAATCAAATAATATTACAAAAAATAAAATTTTAATATATATTTTACATATTATCGTACATTTATATATATTGTAAAGAAAGACTTTTAGTCGCAAGATTTGGTATATTTGTTGCATATTGTAAGAGCATCAGCATCAATCTCTTTAAATTTTTAGTTAAATTATAACTAAAAATGTCATTTTCTATTTTAACTAGTCACCCCACTATATCAAACTCTCTATTCTAACTCAATCCTATTAAAATATTTGCTATTCTTTCTTTTTTTATTAAATTGATAAACTGTCAGCCAAACAATTCTGATGTTTCTTTGTAAAGATAAAACTAGAGGAAATGTTCTAAAAAAAAATTTAATTTGCCATTGACCACCCAGACTTCCAGGCGAACATTCGGTAACCCATAAAAAATTGAATACCCTCTAAACAGTTGCTCGCTTCATCAAGAAAGTACTGTAGCGTTAGAAAAATGAATGAAAGCTATAACGAGGCTAATGGATCACATATTCACAGCTTTTGTTCTTTACAATAGCTTCAAAGCCATTGTAGAGAGGCCGATACTGATATTCTAAGATGATAAACATAAAGTAAAAGTTAAGCATACTCTTTTCTCAAATTTTTAACAATTAGCTTTGTTTAGCTTATATAAGTTAAATTTTATATATAAATTTAAGCAATCCAAAATTATAAACAAAAAAAAACCCTTAAATGGCTAGGTATAAACTCACTAAATAGCGTGTATGGTCCTGTTTAATACAATTTATAGAATTGTTTATAATTTTTATTTTTATACATATAAAAAAATTATTTTAAAATATTTAATACAAACTTTATTTAAATTTTTTGTATTATTGAAAAGATTAATGATTTATCTATCAAATTTGTTTAATCCAAATTCGCCTGAATGGGTCTCTTTTAAGAAAGAGATTTGATGCAGAAGACTCTTTTTTTTAAAAGAAATTTATTTAGGCTAAAAAAATTCAATAATGTGACAATGTTGTATTAAAAAATAAAAAGATATGATTATTTTTAACTTTTAACTTTTTAATTTTTAATTTTTAATATAACTTTCATTTTTCAAAAAGTTACACCAAAGCAAAGTCATTTGATACCGATTGAGGAAAACTAAGGGGAGGAGGACCACTCAAGTAGTGGGTCCACACGGTTAAGCACTGGACCCACCCATTATTGTTTGTATTCATGATTTAGACAGCCACATATCCACACGTCTTTGGTTTTTATTTTCTTTCATTTCTTGGACTTTTACCAGGAAATTCTTTTTGTGAAGGAGTTTTCAAAGTAAATTTCTATCATAAAAAGCTTTGAATGATTGAGACTATACAACAAAAGTTTCAACTTTCATAACCATTCAGTGGTCAAGCAAGAAGTTTGATTAACATATAGTGACATCTAACAGATTTTGAATTGGTCATAATATAATTTTCCAAATTAATTTGCAACTTAACTGAAACATAACAAATTCACAAAACAATCTAATTTTTGTATTATGACTTGGTCTTAGTCCTTAGTCCGATACAAGTTCATGTATATATATTTGTTACTTTTTTAAAATTGTGTAGAAGTCTTGTATATTGAATCGTCCTAATGTTTGTAGACTATGAATTCAAGGCCATACTATCATGTTTGTGGGTAAACAAGGGAAGAATTACAAGTGGAGTACTAAAACAAAATTACAAAAATTATATAAGGCATAACTTATTCTATGGTGGAGTGTAAGTAAAAAACTGAATAGTGATATTTTTTTCCATTATTCAATAGGTCAAGTACACCACATCAAAGTTGCACTCCATGCTTATGATATTTTTTTCACAACCTTCACTGAATAGTGATTTTTTCATTATTCAATAGGTCAGGTATATCACATTATCATGTTGACATAGTGTGCTCAAACAATAAAATTTTAAGGAATGTGATAGTTATTGGTAAAATTCTTAAAATTACTCCATGCATTGTGACCTTTTTTCTTCTTATATTGCTCTTATTGGTCGGCAGGCTGTTGACGTTAAATTCCAGTCTCATGGAATAACTTATTGCAAAGAAAAGTTTTTAAAAAAAATTTAGGCTTTGTTTGGAACGATTCTGAAAATCGTTTTCTATGATTGAGTTGGCATATGGTGTTTGGATAAAGTTGTAGAATTAATTTTTCACAACTCTGCAGAAAACACTGTCAAACAGAGCGCGATTTTCAAAAAAAAAATTGAAATTTGGCCCAACCGGTCGTCCGGCCGGTTGATCGGAACAGTGATTCTTTTTTTTTGCAATTGATATGTTAATTTTTATATATTCAAAAAAAATATTTTCTGAATTTTTTAAAATTTGTTATGTGCTTTAAAATAATTTTGAGTTGTATGTTTAGTTTTGAGTTGTAAATTTTTATATCAAATATCAAATGTCACATCAAAAATTCCCCACTCAATTCAAAACTCTTTCACCAAACAAATTTTTCACGCTCAAATCATAATTCTAAATCTCACAAAATCAAAATACAACTCATACTCTCAAATCATAATTACAAACCTCTACCAAACACAGCCTTAAGCTTTTACTATTCCTTCATTTTTTCCCTTTTTGTGTTTTTTGTTCTTGTCTCCAACTTGCGATATCTGTCAACAATTTTCAAGAGAATAACAAATAACAACGAGATTATTATGAATTATCTAAATCTGCATCAAGTCATTTTCGCTATATTCCACTCTTAAAAAGTTAATTTCGGCTTAAAAAAATAAAATAAAAAACTAGCTTAAAAATACTACATTTTTTAAGATTATTTTGATTTGTTTTGAGAAGTAAGTTAAAAGTCAAATTTTTGATTTTTTTTTATTTTTGATTTTTTTTGAAAAAATATATAAAAAAATTAAAAAATGTTGTGATTCAAAAAAGTTAAAAAATTACTTTTTAGCCAACTTACCAAAATTGGCTTATTTTGAAAGTTGTAAGCTAAAACGCAAATAAATTAAAAACTTGAAGGCCACGTTTGTGTGGCGGATTAGGTTGGATGAAATTACTAGTGAGAGAATTGTTAATTAAGAGATTGTTAATGTGGGGATTGTTAGTGAGGAGATTAAGTAAAAGTATATTTGTTTTGATGATAATATGGAAGATGGTTAGTAATGAAATTATTAAATCATTTTAATATAAAATAAATAAATAAATTATTTTTATATTAAAAAAATTAAACAAACGGGTGCACTTGGTAAACAAAATAAAATTAAAAAAATAAAATTTTATATAAAATAAATTCAATCACGTCACCATTTTCCTAATCTCATCCAAACCTCAGCCAAGCTAATCCCCTATTGAGGGGGATTACTAAGCCCCTAAGGCCATGTTTGTTTGGGTGGACATAAGCTTGGGATTGGACTAATAGTCCAATAAAATTATTAATCCGATATTTGGTTAAACAATTGAAGTACGGATTAATTATTTTAAACTTGATTATTAGTTAAGATAGGATACATAATCCAACGGATTCGTAGTCTTAGGACTATTAGTCATGGGAATGCTAATCAGTCCGTCCAAACAAACATGGCCTTAGAGTATCAATCCACCCTCTCATTTCACTACCAAAGATGCTGTGGATGGGACCCACAGCTATAGTAGTCCAATTCGACCACTCAAGCCGCGAAACAAACATGACCATGACAGAAAAGTGTAACCAAACATCCCTTTGGCATCCCACTTAAAAAATGAACTTATTAGCTTTTTTGGACCAAAACACCAAAAAAATATTTGGCAACCACAACTTTTATAAATAAATAAATAAATAAAATTCGTTATTATGAGTAACATTTATAAAAAAAAATAAAAAGAAAAATAAAACTATTATAAAATCTCATTTTTTCAAAAAAAAAAACTCAAGCTCTGTTTGGTTGTTAATTCAAATCAATTTTCAACACGTGAGCTCGCACATGACGTTTGGATACGACGTTCAAAAATTGATTCCGCGTGTTAATTCAAATTACATTTTGAAAATCTGTTTGGCAGCTTGTATCTCCCTTTCAACGTTTCTGCCTTCTTCATCGTCTCTGCAACTTTCACGTGAAGCTCATCTACATCAGTCCTTCAGATTCATCACGGATGGCTTCTCTGTATCAAACATCCGTACTTCAAATTCATCACGAGTGGATTTCAGACTCATTTTATAAATAATGAATCCACCCAACCCGCTCTGTACTAGTATCATATTTCACAAATCGACTGAGTTACGATTTGTGCGTTGCGAACGATTCTTATTACGGGTAACTAAACAACGATGACTGCGAGGTGAAATTACTCACAAATTTATTTCCATATTTTGTTATAGGGAAATTATTTGAGAAATTCATCTTAATTTATTTTTAATTTTTCTCAGGTCATATTTATCAAATTTATTGTCGAATCCGACGAGCAAACAGTGGCACATTCAATCAGTATACACATTCTGTCACCGACGATAACTATTCAACTCCCATTGATCTGGTAAATAAATCCTTCATCCTTCATCTGTTATCTGAAAATGATTTTATCTGTTATCTAAAAATGATTTCAGACGAGTCGATAAATGATTTTATTCTTCATCCTGAACTGTTTCAACTTTTTTGTTCTTCAAGAATAGTCAGTAAATCAATCTTCATCTGTTATGTATAAATGATTTCGGAGAAGTTGAAATTAGTTCCTAAATGGTTTTTGAGAATTTGTAGAGGCGTATTTTCCATTTCAGATCGGTTGTTCTTTTAAATTATGAATTGTTTGAACCTTTGAACCTGAAGCGGCAGTGCCTAGGACATTCGGCCTGTCGTCCCCCGGGTCATCCGGCCGGTCAACCACCCGGTCCTCCCACCTTGTCTTCCGGTTTTCCATTTCTTCGTTAATGGTTTGAACTGTTTGAACCTTTCATCAATCAATTAATGGTTTGAACTGTTTGAAGCGGCAATGCCTGGGACACCCGGCCGGTCGTCCCCCGGATCATCCGGCCGATCCTCCCACCTCTTCCAGTTTTGTCTTCTAGTTTTCTATTTCTTCGTTAAAATCTACCGGTCTGTTTGAACCTACCGGGCTTTTTTACTAATTTTTTTTCCTTAGTTTTTCTTTTACTGATTTGTTTCCTCCTATTTAAACACAATGTTAACTGATTTTTTTTTTTTATTTGTGGTTATATGTTACTAATTTGTTTCCTCCTATATAAACACAATATAAATTGATTTTTTTTTTATTTGTGGTTATATTTCTGCTATCTGAATGTTTTTTTTTTGTGGTTATATTTCTGCTATTTAAATTCAATTAATCTGTTACGTATTTTTTTCCTCGAAATAAAATCATCTATTCTTTTTCCTTTATCTGTGTTCTCCTTCAAACCATTTTGACGCTATTATTCTCGTATATCCATCGCAGACTACTTTAAAATACTCTGTTATGCTTGTATATCCATCCCAAACTATTTTAAATATAATTTGTATGTTTATAGATGGATGGAAATAATTCCAATGACAATGAGAACACCAAAATGTGAACGCCCCGAATTGAAACGAAATTAATAAATATGTTGAGAGATGAGGTTAGAAACAATCAAACAACAGGCCGTACTACTTCGTGGACAATTAGGCATTGGAATCATTATGCAAATCAGTTGCACAACATATATGGATTTCGGTATACAGGTGTCAAGGTGCGCCAAAAATATCAGCGATTGAAAACTGATTACCAGGCATTTAAGCGACTGCAGGCACAGACTGGTCTGGGATGGGATCTTATTATAGGCACTGTTGTTGCACCCGATGAATTTTGGGATAAGATTTTCCATCAATCTGTACTATTTTCTAATTTTATTTTAAACATTTCATGATATATACAGTGCTGAATTCTTGTTTTGTAATTGTTGTAGGCTAGCAGAAATGTGAAGAAGTTTAGGACAAAAGGGTTTGAATATTTTCAAGAAATGACAGAAATTATTGAAAATTGTTGTGCCACAGGGGCCCTGTCTCGTGCATCCACACAAGGATCCCTTGACTCAGAAGAAGAAGATGGCATGTTAAATAAATTTTGGAACGTTGATACTGGTGGGAGTAATGCTGCTGAGGCCATTCCTGTTGACTTATTTGGGGATGAGTATATGGATCCAGCGAAGAGCAAAGGTCACAAGAGGGGCCCTGCAACCAGCCAGACTGACAGTGGTCGTTCCAAAAAGTCACGGTCAAGTGGGTTTGATGATGTTTGCGCAGCTTTCACATCCTATATACAAGCCAAAACAGGACATTCACGTGCACGAGAAAATGAGACTGAGGTTGTAAGTGCAGGTGGTGATGATTATTCCCTTGATGCATGTCAAGATGCATTACTTAAGCTTGGGGACATACCACCGTCGCAGTACGTTAGGGCACTGACACTGTTCAAGGATAAGGAATGGCAAAGGTTTTTTATGCGCACTCCTACCCATTTGTGCCTAGCCATGATCCTCGCTTTGCAGTGAATTGAGAAGTTCTGTTTTGCTTGTGTTAACAAATCTTCTTCGCTGAACTGTTTGATGATGTCATTATTCCTGATTTGGTTTTTCTTTTCTTTTTTTCATTCCATCATATCCTCTTTCCTTTTCTATGTTCGTATGTTTTTTTTTTTTTTTGAACTTTTAAGTGTTTTCTGTTATATTAAAACTATGTTCTGTTATTATAATATGACCATGTGTTAAATAAATTTTGTTCTCCTCTGAATTTTACTGTTTCACCAATAACGCTACCTATTATAGCATGAGTAACATATTTTATAATTATGCTTTTACTGTGATGTAGACAAAGGCATATGTCATCCGACAGAGGAAACAATACAATGGAGCTCTCATCAGAGGATGATGAGGTTGTTGATGATTTTATGGACTTTTTGATGATTGCTTTAATGCATGACCATATCAACGCGTCAAGTAGTCGCCGACCGCAGCGAATGTGTCCATTCAGAGGTGATGATTACATCTTCGGCCTACTAAATGGCCATCCAGAAACAATGATGAACGTTTTACGAATGGATGCACAAACATTCATTTTATTGAAAGACACTTTACTCCATAATGGCTTTATCGATACTGAACATATGCATATCAGTGTAGAGGAATCGCTTGGAATTTTTTTATACACTTTTGCACAAAATGATCGCCATCGAATAATAGATTTCAACACTCCACGGAAACAATTTGTCGGCACATAAAAATTGTTATGCGGGCATTGTGTAAGCTTTCATCATCGGTTATCAAACCACGTCACCTAGAGGACATACCGGGAAAAATTTTGAATGATAGGAGGTTTTTTCCCTAGTTCAAGGTACAAACAGTATGACTGTCCTGTAAGTTTGTTCATATCAATAAGTGTTAATAAATATTATTTTTTTTATTATGAAAGTAATATCGAAGTTTGTTTCGCTTTTAATATCAAACAAATATCTGTCAATTAGGATTGTGTTGGTGCTATCGATGACACATTGGTGGATGCATGGGTCCCTGCTTCAAGACAAAATACATTCCGCGGTCGGAAAGCAACGATATCGCAAAATGTACTCGCAGCTTGCGACTTCGATATATTGTTCACATTTATTAATTCTAGATAGGAAGGTAGCGCTCACGACAACACTATTCTGCTTGACTTTTACACGAGCTGATCTACAGTTCTCACACCCACCCAATGGTGACTGTCCCTGAATAACATACGGTACACTTTTTTCCTTGTCTGTTTTTGTACATATCAATTGACAGAACTGTACATTCATTATTTAATGTAGGCAAGTACTATTTAGTTGATGCTGGTTTTACGAATATGTTTGGATTTCTTGCCCCATTTCGGTCTCAACGGTATCACTTGCAAGAGTTTCATAGCCATCGTTATATAGGACCTAAGGAATTGTTTAACCATCGACATTCGTCATTACGCAATGTCATAGAAAGAACATTTGGTGTTTTGAAGAAGCATTTCCCAATATTGCGGTCCATGCCAAATTACAAGTCTACACGACAAGGGCCTATCGTGATTGCATGTTGTGTAGTGCACAATTGGATCCGTTTGCATGCAGCTATGGATCCATTCTTTATGGAAGCTGATAATGAAATGGCTACAGAAGCAGAAGCAGACGGGCTTGTTGGAGACCAAGCTGACTACGTTGACATGTCACAACATGGGTTAACGTCCCAATCGAACGTTAGGGATGCAATTGCTACTACTATGTGGCAAAATCATGTTCACCATGCATAGAAAAAAGATGTGAACAAGGCAAGTGAATATCGTACTGACTACTGGTTGTGAATGCGTAATTATTTGGTAAATTAATTCAATCATTATGACACCGTTACTACATAACTTCGCCCTTCCTTGTCTATTTCTTTGATTTACTGACTTCTTTTATCTTCTTGTAGGATAACTAATACTGAGGACAACGATTGGGCTAAATGGCAATGAAACGAAATAAAACACAAACATCATCGCATGGGCAATGAAGATAATGGTTTTCGCATATAAGTGTGTAATTAAATATGTTGTTCATGCAATGTGTAATATGCAATTTTATGTATAGTCTAGCAAAGACAATTTAATATGTTGTTATTAATATGCAATGTGTTTCTTAGTAACTTTCATAAATAAATATGTTGTCATTAAATTAAATGTGGTGGTGGCAGATGGGTGGTGGGTGGTGATGGGTGGTGGTGGCAGGTGGGTGGTGATGGGTGGTGGGTGGTGGTGGCAGATGGGTGGTGGTGGCTGGTGGGTGGTTGGTGGTGGTGGTGGTGCTAAGTTCACCATTTAAAAGTGTAACAAATAAAAAAAAATAATAATGATAAGAATAATAATAATAATAATAATAATAATAATAATAATAATAATAATAATAATAATAATAATAATAATAATAATAATAATAATAATAATAATAATAATAATAATAATAATAATAATAATAATAATAATAATAATAATAATAATAATAATAATAATAATAATAATAATAATAATAATAATAATAATAATAATAATAATAATAATAATAATAATAATAATAATAATAATAATAATAATAATAAAGTAAATAAAATAAAATAAAATAAAAAATTATATTATATTTTATTGTTTTATATCACCCGATTTTATAGCAAAATATTATTTTATATGAAGAATGTGTAAAAATTCGCTGGGTACATCTTAAAGTAAGGGTGCATAATTTGTGTAAACGCTGGGGTATTCTTTTTAATTTTCTGTACAGAAGTTTATATTAATTTTTTTTTCTTTTCATTAAAAAAAAGAATGTTTATTATTAAATATTATTAAATTGTAACTTGTTTTATTTAATTTCAGAACATTAATTTAATTTTATAAATTAATTGATGCAGACAAATTATTTAATAATTGTGTAATTTTTATTCATTTTATTCAAATGAAGGATTTCGTAGACATTTATGAAGTACTATTTATTAATTTTTGTACAAATAATTTTTTCAATGCATAATCTTTTTGCACAAATGGTTAAAACATTATAACTATGTGATTAAATGATTCCAAAAAAAACCCCTCGTTGTTATTCATTACGTGAATAAAAAAGTTTATAACAAAATAACAAAAGTAAAACAATCACAACAAAACTCACCAAATAAATAAGACAGAGATCTCTGTAACAGTAACAGTCAGTAACAGTAGTTGCTAAGGATGCCACAATACAGTTCAGAATAGAGGACATACATTCATTCTATTAACAGTATCGATTTAGAAACAGTACAGTTCAATTGTTCAGAAGATAATCATTTTTGAACATATCTTTACACAGTTGTTACTCACAGAGTTCTGGGCTACAGTTAGGCTAGAGCGCGTCCCCAGTCGCCAACCCTACACAGTTTACAG